GAGTAGCTTCCCCATTCCCATCGCCCGGGGGAACCAGGCCTTCCAACGATAAGGAGTAGCTTTCCCTTCCATCGCCCGCGGAAACCAGGCCTTCCAAGGATAAGGAGTAGCTTTCCCTGCCATCGCCCGGGGGAACCAGGCCTTCCAAGGATAAGGAGTAGCTTTCCCTTCCATCGCTCGGGGGAACCAGGCCTTCGCCCGGGGGAACCAGGCCTTCCAAGGATAAGGAGTAGCTGTCCCTGCCATCGCCCGGGGGAACCAGGCCTTCCAAGGATAAGGAGTAGCTTTCCCTTCCATCGCCCGGGGGAACCAGGCCTTCCAAGGATAAGGAGGAGCTGTCCCTGCCATCGCCCGGGGGAACCAGGCCTTCCAAGGATAAGGAGTAGCTGTCCCTGCCATCGCCCGGGGGAACCAGGCCTTCCAACGATAAGGAGTAGCTTTCCCCCTTCCATCGCCCGCGGGGGAACCAGGCCTTCCAAGGATAAGGAGTAGCTTCCCTGCCATCTTCCAAGGATAAGGAGTAGCCCCTGCCATAGCTCGGGGAACCAGGCCTTCCAAGGATAAGGAGAGCGGTCCCTGCCAGCTTTCCCTTCCATCGCGCCCGGGGGAACCACCCTTCAAGGATAAGGAGTAGCTGTCCCTGCCATCGCCCGGGGAACCAGGGGAACCAGGCCTTCAAGGATAAGGAGTAGCTTTCCCCCCCCCCCCCCCCCCCCCCGCCCCCTCCATCGCCCGGGGAACCACCCTTCCAAGGATAAGGAGTAGCTGTCCCTGCCATCGCCCGGGGGGAACCAGGCCTTCCAAGGATAAGGAGTAGCGTTCCTTCCCATCGCCGGGGGATCGGCCTTCCAAGGATAAGGAGTAGCTTTCCCTTCCATCGCCCGCGGGGGAACCAGGCCTTCCAAGGATAAGGATCTGTCCCTGCCATCTCCCGGGGGAACCCAGCCTTCCAAGGAGTAGCCATCAATGATTCAGCTTGTTCCCTTCCATCGCCCGGGGGAACCAGGTGCCTTCCAAGGATAAGGAGTCTGTCCCTGACCCATCGCCCGGGGGAACCAGGCCCTTCCAAGCTAAGGAGTAGCTGTCCCTTCCATCGCCCGGGGACCAGGCCTTCCAGGAATAAGGAGTAGCTTTCCCTTCACAAGGATAAGGAGTTGCTTCCCTGCCCCATCGCCCGGGGGGAACCAGCCCTTCCAAGGATAAGGAGTAGCTGTCCCCCTTTCCATGGATAATGATGTTGTGTCCATCACCCGGGAACCAGGCCTTCCAAGGATAAGGAGTAGCTCCTTTCCCTTCCATCGCCGGGGGAACCAGGCCTGCAGTGGATTAAGGGTAGCCCCTGGCCATCGCGGGGGAAGGAACAGGCCTAAGGATAGCTGTCCCTGCCATCGCCCGGGGGAACCAGGCCTTCAAGGCCTTCCAAGGATAAGGAGTAGTGTCCCTGCCATCGCCCGGGGGAACCAGCCTTCCAAGGATAAGGAGTAGCTTTCCCTTCCATCGCCCGGGGGAACCATCGCCGGGGGATTCCAAGGATAAGGCGTAGCTATCCCCTTTCCAAGGATAAGGAGCTTTCCCATCCAGCCCGGGAACCAGGCCTTTCCCTTCCAGTCGCGACGGGTCGGGGGATCCAGGCCTTCCAAGGATAAGGAGGAGCTGTCCCTGCCAGTAGCTGTCCCTGCCATAGCCCGGGGGAACCTGGCCTTCCAAAGGATAAGGAGTAGCTGTCCCTGCCCCCCTGCCTAGGGGGGGGAACCAGGCCTTCAAGGATAGCTTTCCTCCATCGCCCGGGGGAACAAGGCCTTCCAAGGATAAGGAGGAGCTGTCCCTGCCATCGCCCTGGGGAACCAGGCCTTCCAAGGATAAGGAGTAAGCTTTCCCTTCCATCGCCCGGGGGAACCAGGCCTTCCAAGGATAAGGAGTTTCCAAGCTGTCCCTTCCATCCCGGCCCCTTCAAGGGTAAGGAGTACTGTCCCTGCAGGGAAACCAGGCCTTCCAAGGATAAGGAGTAGCTTCCCCATTCCATCGCCCGAAAGAACCTGGCCTTCCAAGGATAAGGAGTAGCTGTCCCTGCCCTCGCCCGGGGGAACCAGGCCTTCCAAGGATAAGGAGTAGCTTTCCTTCCTCGCCCGGGGGAACCAGCCTTCCAAGGATAAGGAGTAGCTTTCCCTTCCATCGCCCGGGGGGGGAACCAGGCCTTCCAAGGAAAAGGAGTAGCTGTCCCTGCCATCGCCCGGGGGAACCAGGCCTTCCAAGGATAATGGAGTAGCTTTCCCTTCCATCGCCCGGGGGAACCAGGCCTTCAAAGGATTCCATCCGCCCGGGGGAAAGGAGTTCCTTTTCCCTTCCATCGCCCGGGGGAACCAGCCTTTTTCGTTTTTCTTTTCCAAGGATAAGGAGTAGCTTTCCCTTCCCGCCCCCCCCCATCGCCCGGGGGAAACCAGGCCTTTTCCAAGGATAAGGAGTAGCTTCCCTTTTCCATCGCCCGGGGGAACCAGGCCTTCCAAGGATAAGGAGTTGCCTTTCCCTTCCATCGCCCGGGGAACCAGGCCTTCCAAGGATAAGGATAGCTTAGCTGTCCCTGCCCGGGGGAACCAGGCCCTTCGCCCGGGGGAACCAGGCCTTCCAAGGATAAGGGAGTAGCTTCCCTTCCATCGCCCGGGGGAACCAGGCCTTCCAAGGATATGGGGGAGTAGCTGTCCCTGCCATCGCCCGGCGGGGGAACCAGGCCTTCCAAGGATAAGGAGTAGCTGTCCCTGCCATCGCCCGGGGGAACCAGGCCTTCCAAGGATAAGGAGTAGCTTTCCCTTCCATCGCCCGGGGGAACCAGGCCTTCCAAGGATAAGGAGTAGCTGTCCCTGCCATCGCCCGGGGGAACCAGGCCTTCCAAGGATAAGGAGTAGCTGTCCCTGCCATCGCCCGGGGGAACCAGGCCTTCCAAGGATAAGGAGTAGCTTTCCCTTCCATCGCCCGGGGAACCAGGCCTTCCAAGGATAAGGAGTAGCTTTCCCTTCCATCGCCCGGGGGAACCAGGCCTTCCAAGGATAAGGAGTAGCTGTCCCTGCCATCGCCCGGGGGAACCAGGCCTTCCAAGGATAAGGAGTAGCTTTCCCTTCCATCGCCCGGGGGAACCAGGCCTTCCAAGGATAAGGAGTAGCTTTCCCTTCCATCGCCCGGGGAACCAGGCCTTCCAAGGATAAGGAGTAGCTGTCCCTGCCATCGCCCGGGGGAACCAGGCCTTCCAAGGATAAGGAGTAGCTTTCCCTTCCATCGCCCGGGGGAACCAGGCCTTCCAAGGATAAGGAGTAGCTGTCCCTGCCATCGCCCGGGGGAACCAGGCCTTCCAAGGATAAGGAGTAGCTTTCCCTTCCATCGCCCGGGGGAACCAGGCCTTCCAAGGATAAGGAGTAGCTGTCCCTGCCATCGCCCGGGGGAACCAGGCCTTCCAAGGATAAGGAGTAGCTTTCCCTTCCATCGCCCGGGGGAACCAGGCCTTCCAAGGATAAGGAGTAGCTTTCCCTTCCATCGCCCGGGGGAACCAGGCTCTTTGAATTGAGATTGATTGATTTATGGCGCATGAGGACATGGCTGGTTGGCTGGCTGATTGGCTGGCTGGTTGGTTGTTTGGGTTGGCTGGCTGGCTGGCTGGCTGGCTGGTTGCCTGGCTGGCTGGCTGGTTGGTTGCTTGGGTTGGTTGGTCGGTGGGTGGGTGGGTTGGTTGGTTGGGTCGCCTGGTTGGTTGACGGGCAGACGATCCGCAATTGCGATAACGTGGCTGTGGTGCTCGTGTTGGTGTTTGAAAACCGGCTGAAAGGATTTAGTGCTCTGAAGCCTCACCATTTTGCAATCGACCGTGCAATTATGATTGGAAGCTTCTTTTCCCGCTGTTCCGAGTCTGACACGCACACACACACACACATGTATCTTGGTGGCTCCCAGCGCATCCCCTTAGCTTGTTAGCCTTTTAGTGTTTAGTGGTGGTTTCCGTTTAACCCAGTAAAAGTTAAACTTTTAGCAGGGGATCTGAGGGCAGCCCAGGTATAAGCTGCGATGCCGAGTCAGACAGGTTGGCTGCGGAGTTTCTGAAAAGAACGGGGACTTCAAGAGCCTTGGAGGGTGTTTTTCGTGTCCCGCCTGCAGATACTCATAGGGGCTGGGGGGAGGGAGGGGAGGGGGAGGCCAAATAAGCCTCAAATAAGGCCTCATTAAGGACTCAATAAGGGCTTATTTGGGCTCCCTCCCCCTCCCGTCCCTCCTCCATGAGATACGAGCAGTAGGCGACAGTCGTGGCTGTTAAAGCTCTTGTTGATTGGCAGGTGGGCGTTGATGCTGACAAACTGCACATATGCACAACAACCCCACTTCAAGTTGATATACAGAAGTAGTCATAGGAATGGTCCATAATTTTGCATCGCTTACCCTTGGCGGCTTATTTCACTGGATTTTATCCATCCCAAGTGGTGCGTTTTGTGAACGCCGTCTTGATCGCCAAGTTGCCAGGTGCGGAGCCGAGCTTCAAGACGAAGATGTGCAACTTTTATTTGCAGGTGGGGGTTGATCAAGCCTTGAGTCTCTGGGCTCCCATTTCAAAAGAAAGCATCAATTGCAACTACGGACAAGAATCAAATGCTGGATTGTAGCTTTTATTGGGTGCAATTTTGGCAAATAACGCGTCTGTGGGTTTTGCGTGTGCATCAGTTCTTCGCAATCCCACATCTTAGACTGTTGAGTGAACTAATGACTGCGATGGTCACGACCTTGGGCGTTCGTTGGAGAGGCCGGGCTTGCACAATCCGACAAGTTAGACAACACTTTCGTATGGTACGACTTTTGGAGGTAGTCTTTGCTATGGTGGGTGCCCCTTGGAATGATTTCTTTCTTCTGGTGGATTGCATTTTATTCTGCGTAGAGCTTTGGAGTTCACATGAGCAACGATCAAAACCCGGATAGAAAAGGGAAAGGGACAGCCCCAATCATAATCAGGTCAGGTAGGCCTTTGTGAGTTTTTTTGCATGGCTTTTGGCACACCCTTTTCGTACCAGGTTTTGATTGCGACTCACTTTGTTTGTTTGCCAACAGATCAAGAGTCACAGCGGCTCATGATTGGTCGTTCTGAGCCAGTTGGCTCATTGGATAGGTTGCCACTTGCTGTGACACCAAAGAAACCCTTGTGGGATGGTAATCAACTTTGATAGAAAGGGCCGCCATGTTCTACTTGGGACCTTGCGCTTGTGGCTTGGTATTCAAGGAAACAAAAGGGAAACCTGGGAGAAAGGCGGGACGACGACGGTGGTGATGGTGATGGTGATGAGGAGGAGGACGATGATGATACTGGTGATGGCCGTTTCCCACTAGCTTCCGGCCAGGGCCAGTGCGTCAAAGGAGGGGCCTGCAAGTTCGCCCACGGCGAGCTGGCGATGCCGCCCCCGCCCCGTCCGGCGGCCCAGCCGAGCTGAAGCCATCCTCATGTTTTCATGGGTGAATCATGACTAGGTCCCCCAGTAATGTCCTTCTCTCCCCTTTTTTGGTTGGGAGGGTTCCCCACTAAAATTGACTACAGAAGAAAAGTTGGTACCCTTATTCTAGCCTCTCTACTGGAGGACCTAGTCTGTGCGTGTTTTGCTGGTGAAGGTGTTTGCATGCGAGTCTCAACATGAGCCGATTTCTGGCCATGACAACATGTCCAGTCGCTTTTTCAAGTACTTGTACCTGGCCCATTCTGCTCTTCGGCTCATTCTCACATCCGTCCCTTGCAATACTGTAGGGGTCAGTTCGGAGGCTGCTATCCGCATGTGTCATTGGCATGAACCGTTGGTTCGGGGTTTCGCTGATATGGCTGTGAAGTATAATAGAGAACCATCTCACACGTGGTTGGTGGACATGAATGAATCCCCACCTAAACGCTGTCCACCGCACAGTCCGGGACCCATTCCAAAAATTATTCATGCCCATGTCAGTAGTTGTCCCCCCCTTGCTGTTGGCTCGTGAGTGCTTTGGTCTGCGAAGAACAACGGGCAAAGTGACACGTTTTGGCCGGGCCCAACGGTGCTGCGCACGGACACCTCTTTGGCCTCCGTTAAAGAAAGTCGCCCAACTGCAGCGTTCAATCCCGATCCCAGTGCCACCAAAAAATGTTTTTTGTGGCGTGTGCGTGTGTTTTTCGGGGAAAGGACCCCCCTTTAAATGGTCGTCCTTTTGGTTTCCCTTAACCTACCCCAAAAACGAGGTGCCCTCTGGTGCCACGTGCCCGCCCGTCCGCCCGCCCGCCCGTCCGCCCCAGTGTTCGAAGATGACGCCTCGGCATCTTCAGATTTTGGGATGTTCTCCCTTGGACGCGCGGGAGTAATTCCCCGGTTGCTGCCCTTACAAATATCTAATATGTGCTAGGGCAACTGCCGAAGACCCACCAAGCAATCAGCCCTTCCAAACCGCTCGAGGCGCGCTGCCGGCAGGGACCAACGGCAATCGCTACGGCATTATCGTTCCTAGCCTCGCGCGAAAAGGCGGGTGAAAAGGACTTGGATTGGATTCGCCGCGCGCAGAGCTCGCGGATCCGTTTTCCACAGAAAAAAAAAAAAAAAAACATCATCCTAGAGGAACGGTATTTCCACAAAAAAAATGTTTAGAGGAATGTATCGCCATCCATTTTTTAGGAAAGTCTCCTCTTGAACCCATTTTTGGGTTCCATGTTCATTTGCAGGAGACTGGCTTTGGCAAAAAGCCATTCTCATGCGCTTGTCGCTTTATTCCCATATAAAAGAGAACCCCACTTGCGCCTGGAGTCGTGGTGGCTGTTTTCAGGGTTTGTTTGCCTGGCCGCCTGCCCGTTGGTCAGCCATTTTCCTTTTGGGTGCCTTGTTTTAGGGTCCCTCCAAAAACAGGGGTGGTCTTCAAGGCCGAGCTAGACAAAGGCCGGGTCATTTTGGAGCCCCATTTGCAGATCCGAACCCGTCTCAGCAAATTGGCCCAAGCAATTTTGACAGCTGTCGCCACTCCGAGCTCGCCTTTTTGATCATGGCGCGCTCTTCTTGCAGATCAGGGCAGAGGAGAGTGGCAGCGTTGCTTTTGGCTTTGGCGTGCTATCTGTACGCCCCAGCCCCCTGCCAAAGATGTGGCTGGCAACATGTTGTCCTCAATGATGCTCTGTGGCCACCAACGGTTCCCTTCCTAAGCACGATGCTTTCTCATCGGGGTTGTCTCCTATGTCCTGTAAACCATCGCCCCTCAATTCCAGCCAGTGCCTGGCGAGTTTTACCCAGGGGCAAACATCACCCCGTGTCCACCAGGGTGAACCAGCTTTCAGCGTCGCTTTGTCAGGTAGAGTTCGGGCTCGATTCAGTACGGAGTCGGTGCAGTTTTACTCGCATGCTGCCTTTCAGGGATGAGCAGGGCAAATCATGTGTGCTGTGCGTGTGTCTGTGTGTGCACGCGTGTGCGTGTGCGTGTGCGTGTGCGTGCGCGTGCGCGTGCGCGTGCGCGTGCGCGTGCGCGTGCGCGTGCGTGTGCGTGTGCGCGTGCGTGTGCGTGTGCGCGTGCGCGTGCGTGTGCGTGTGCGCGTGCGTGTGCGTGTGCGTGTGCGTGTGCGTGTGCGTGTGCGTGTGCGTGTGCGTGTGCGTGTGCGTGTGCGTGTGCGTGTGCGTGTGCGTGGTGTGTCTGTCTGTCTGTCTGTCTGTCTGTCTGTCTGTCTGTCTGTCTGTCTGTCTGTCTGTCTGTCTGTCTGTGTGTCTGTTTGTCTGTCTGTGTGTCTGTGTGTCTGTGTGTGTGTGCGTCTGTGTCTGTGTCTGTGTCTGTGTCTGTGTCTGTGTGTGTGTGTGTTGCGTTGCGTTGCGTTGCGTTACGTGGCGTCGCGTGGCGTCGCGTGGAGTTGTGCTGTGCTGCGTTGCGTTGTGTTGACTTGTGCTGTGTTTGAGCTGCGTTGCTTGCGTTGACTTGCGTTGACTTGTGTGTTGAGACGTCTGTCTCCGTCTGTCTCCATGTATCTCCACGTATGTATGTATGTATGTATGTATGTATGTATGTATGTATGTATGTGTGTATGTATGTATGTGTGTGTGTGTGTGTGTATGTGTGTGTGTGTTTCTGTTTGTGTGTGCGTGTGTGTGCGTGCGTGCGTGTGTGTGTGTGTGTGTGTGTGTGTGTGTGTGTGTGTGTGTGTGTGTGTGTGTGTGTGTGTGTGTGTGTGTGTGTGTGTGTGTGTGTGTGTGTGTGTGTGTGTGTGTGTCTGTGTTTCTGTTTGTGTTTGTGCGTGTGCGTGCGTGCGTGCGTGCGTGCGTGGGTGTGTGTGTGTGTGTGTGCGTGGGTGTGTGTGTGTGTGTGTGTCTGTGTGTGTGCGGGTGTTTGTTTGTGTTGTTTGCATTTTTTAAATACAAATAGAATAAAGATACGTTGGTGTGTTGGTGTGTTGGTGTGCTGGTGTGTTGGTGTGTTGGTGTGTTGACGTGTTTCTTTGTTTCTTTGATGCATTGCAGCTTTGTTGCTCTGTTGTTTTGTTGCCTTGTTTCTTTGCTTATTTCTCTTTTTTATTCGTTCTTTGGTTTTGTGGTGCTGCCTGTGGTGTTTCGGCGTTTTGATCTGTGCTTGTGTGGTGTTTCTTTGTTTTCTGGTTTCCTTGCTTTTGTTGTTTCTTTGTGGATTTTTAGATTTGGTTGGTTGGTTGGTTGGTTGGCTGGCTGGCTGGCTGGTTGGTTGGTTGGTTGGTTGGTTGGTTTTGTTTTTGGTTTTGCTCAGGTGCCACTTGTTGGTGGTTTGGATAGGTGTTTTGGGGACGATTCGTAAAGGGACCACCACCCGTACCCACCAAACCGCCAATCCAAACAACCAATTAGAGGGAATCTGATTTGGTTTGTTGTGTTTTGCTTGCATGCTTGCTTGCATGCTTGCTTGCATGCTTGCTTGCTTAGTGCTACATATTTAGCCTGGCGGTCCCACATTTGCGGCTGTTCCACCATTGTGCTTCAAGCAACAACTTCCTGCCATAATCCATGCTGAACTCCTTCTCCACATTCATTTAAACAGGGGGCTGGCTCAACTCTGCCACACAGGGCGTCTTTCTTTTGACTGAGGCGTTTGTCCCTGGCGTCACAAGCAACCGCCATGCACCCAGCAGACATCAAGCACTTAGAGACGTCCGCCTCCGAGCACGGGGTGGTGATGATGCCGAGAGTCTGGCGGTGGGGGACGAAGTGAAGGCGTTGTTCCCAGCCGCTGGGCCAGCAATTGTCCCAGCCAATTGATATAAGGGGGTGTCCCCTCAGGTGATGATTCCCCACTAAACCCGCAAACACCCTACAAATAAACTGGGGTTGAGATAAATGGGGGTCAACATTCGTGGGAGGGGGAGAACGAGGACAGCAACCCCCGCCCAGACGAGTTCCATGTTTCTGTTTCATGAAAGACAATGCCTACTTTGCTTGGAGAACCCCCAGCCGTCCGGTGCCTTAGGCTTTTAGCTTTTTTGGGCTTAGTGGTCGTTTCCGCGTCACTTTTAGCAGGGGATCAGTTTGGACAGCCCAGTTTGCGTTGAAACTCAACTGCCGAAAAACAAAAAAAACTGATTTGGTGAGACCCTGGCGAAGAAAGGATCGCGTGAATAGATGGAAAGGGCAGCTGAGGCCTTCCCGCCTCAAAAAAAAAGGGATGTTCTGCTGCCGGCCCATGGCAGGGGAATGGGGGGTTGTAACAACCCCAGTGGATGTTCTCAATGGTTGCTTGATTCCTGCCAGTGGGTTTCTCTCAAAATCCGGGGCCCCTTGCTTTTGGGATGGGTATGATTTTTTGAAAGGGAAGCCAAGCAACAGATTCACCTGCCTGCATGTCCCGAATTTCTAGAGCCAGCCCTGCTCTAAGCGACCAACAATTTGTCGGAACATCGGCGAATCGCAGATTTGGCGCAGGCCTTCATGAATCCGCTTGTGTCGAATCTTGGTGGTTCCCAGCCATGCTAAAGTCAAGCTTTAGCAGGGGTTCTGGGAACAGCCCGGGAATTGGTACCCTGTTTGGGGTTGTGGAAAACTGGGATGCCAGAAGGGCACCCAGTTTTTCCCGGGGCTCCAAATGCGTGCCATGGTCCAACGATTGCTGGGGTTCTTTCATAAGGCGCATATGCGGATGCGAGAGGCGTGAAGGTAACTGAACCATGGCATGTAACCATGGCATATGAGTTCTATGAACTTATATCAATCATATCAACACAGCTATACAGTTCAATTAATTCTATGAATAAGACTTGACATATCAGCAAGCCGAAAATGAAGGTCACCCACGTCTTTCTGTAAGGACGACGAGCAGTTCTACCCGGGCACCATCGAGAAGGTGGGCGACGGAACCTGCACCGTGAAGTGGGAGGATCCCGACGGCGGTCCCGAGACCTCCGAGGTGAGCAACGCAGACATCAAGAAGAGCCATGGCTTGTATGTGGCTTGTGTGGCTCCAGCCCCGTATCATGGGGGCTGGAGGGGAGGGGGGAGCCCAAATAAGCCCTCAAGCCCTTAAGGCCTTATTTAGGGCTTATTTGGGCTCCCTCCCCCCCCTCTTCCCTCCCCCCCAGCCCCCATGACTGTAGAATGTTAAACTAGGTGCCCTCTTGAACCGTTTCTTGTTTGGGGGAGGGTTCCCCTACTAAAACAGACTACAGAAAAACGGGTACCCTTATTGTAACTTCTCTACTGGAGGACCTAGTAAAAGAATACCAAAGGGTTGCCAAAACAGGACCAATCGGGTGAAGATCAGGCAAAACCACAAAAAGCACATCCAAACTGCATTCTTGATGATTCCCCCGCTCAACGCGTTGAGTGAGTTCTCGGTGATGTGAAGTGTCTTTCAAGGTCGGCGAAGCAGAGAAATCCAGAGGTCGGGGATGGACGAAATCCATTTCGCGCCACAAACCCAGCTATGATGATTCCCCTGTAACTTCCAGCATGTGTTTATGGTCTCAACCATGGGGGTTTTAGTTCGTGGTGCTGAAAAACCGGATTTCGCCACCATCCACAGAGGTGAGGTGGTTTTGGAAGACGGCCAGCATAGAAACCGCCTGTCACTTTGGATGCGCAACGCCGATCCGAACTCTGTGACCCTCACTTGCGCCACGGAAACCTAGGAGCTGGACATGTCGAGGTCGATGTTGGAACGCCCGGGAAAAAACACACACGAAAACACGTGGTATCTAGGTCCCCCAGCAATTGGTGCCCTTTCTCACCCCTTTGCGGGAGAGTTCCCCTACTAAAATAGAAGGGCACGATTCTAACCTCTCTACAGGACCTGGGTATGGGGCCTACTTGGGTCGTTTTCGAGGAGAGGCATGGCTGGGGCCTTTTCAACTCAAACAGAGGTCACTTTGTTTCGTCGCGGTGCTGCCAGTTGTCTTCTGCTTTTTTCTGGTTGGCTCACGGGGTCAAACCCCAACCCCGGAACCTCGAAAGGGGGCCGAAAGGTGTTTTTTTTGGATAGGCAAGGGCGCAAGGCCGCCCCTCCTCATTTTCTGGGCAACCGTTTTTTTTGGATAGACTGAGCTCCATGGAAGGTGAAACAAGGGCGCAAAGCCACCCTTTGTTTTGTGGCTGTCTTGTGGCGCATCTTCCCTTTTAAGTCCCTTTTTGAATTTTTGGCTTAGCCTCCAGAAGTGAGCCATAGGCGCCGCTTTCGAGATGGGTGTCGCTGGTTGCGAGTTCAATTGGTAAGGGGCACCTGGTTGAGACAGAGCTTCAGGTATCCTCGAACTGGTTTGGGTTTTTGGGTTGGGGGATCTGAACCCCGGACAAAAATTGTGGAGGGTTGATGAATCGGCAACCACTCCCAAACCACCAAACCAATCCAAACAACCAATTAGAGGTAAGCTGACAGAATATGGCCTCCAGTGACAAGTCCGCCTGTCCCCGAGGTTTGCGAACATGAGAGTGTGTTCGTAGCCAACAGGCAAGGAATACGTGCCAAGGACCGAGTCTTGCGAAAGGGTAAGGAGAGACAAACTTTGAGGATCAACCACCAAACCACAGCACCAAGCCACATCAAAGGGTAAGGAGAGGCACACAGCTCCGGGTCTGAGGATCATCACCACCAAATCACCAAACCACCAAACCACATCAAAGCACCAAAGAAGGAGAGACAGACGGAGACGGACTCTGAGGATCGTCATCTACAAGGACTACAAGGTGGGCGAGGCCGTGGAGGCCATCTTCCCCGAGGATGGCTACTGGTACCCCGGGGAGGTCACTAAGGTGAACGCCGACGGCACCTTTGCGGTGAAGTGGGAGGCGCGGCGTTTTGACCCGACGGCACCTTGGGACCGACCCCAATGGAACCCGCCCCAAACCCGGGTGCCTTCAGGAAACTTCCCCGGAATCAGCTCCCCTTTTTGCTTTTTTGCTTTTTTGGGATCCGTTTGTTTTCCACCAAGCAGGCATTTTATTTTTTTTGCTGGGGTCCTAATTCCAGCCTAGGAAAATGGGGTGGGTCAGGACTCTCCAGTTGGTAGATGGGAGGGTCCCCCGCCCGACATTTTTAAGATGTGGGCAGGATGGGGGGGGGGAAGGCAGAGGGAGTTTGAATCCTATGAGTCTGCGGAAAAGGACCTTCTGTCAGTCTCAACAAGGTTCGCCGTCTTTGGATATTTTGGGTCTTGTGGGTTGTTTTCATTTGGAGACAAACCCATGTTCCTAATAGACATATATATATACACGTAGACAAATACATATATATATATATATATATGTATATATATATATACACATGTCTATTCGATGAGAAAGCCAGCTCTGAAGTGTTCGGTCGAAGCGTGCCGATTGGCTCGGCTTGGGTTCACGTCTTCTTGAAGGCAGTTGAGAGCGCAGCAAAGTCGACGCCGGAGTGTCCACCAACTGTGGTTGTCAAGCCGTTTTGGTTTTCCTTTTTGGGGTAATAGGTAACCCCGGATCAATAAACCCCTGGTTGATTTTGATCAGGGGGTGTGCCCTTTTAGTGGGGATTCAGACCACTTTTGGAGGGAACACTTTCCTAATAGTGGGACGGGTTTATTAATCCTGGGTCAACATTAGGTTAGTCTGAAAAAAGAGTGGTTGGATTGGGATGTTCACTGGGGGATAACCGGTTCGGATTTTGACCCATGGCCATATGATTGCGGGTCCTCCAACATGAGGCGCCAACCCCTTTGATGTGGCTTTGCTATGACCACCCCCGATTCAATCAGTTCAAACACAGGAGTTCCTATATATCTAAGTCAGGCCTTTCGCGGGAAAGGCTTAGACAAGCCACCCTTGAAAGTTAAAGACAAAGGCTTTGATCAGGTATGTTTGTTTGTTTGTTAGTTTTGCCTGGATGTGTTTCTTTCCGGATGAATCCACTTTCCATCAAAGCGAGCCACGAAACAGTCACAGGGTTCTAAAGTAGAAACACGCTTCCTACAACAGCGACCCAAGCGACATTGTCAAACAGGGGTTTATTACTCCTGGGTTCCCATTTGTCCGTTGGTTCAGGCTCTCAGATCCGAGCTTGGCTAGTGGATTCTTCAGTCAGCACAAGAGCAAGGGCGCATCGTTTTGGGCGTTTTCTTTTCAACGCCTGATTTAGGTTTTGGGGGGCTGGGGGAGATCACGCCTTTGGTGGCGGTAGCAAGCAAATCTTTACTTGGAGTACGACCTACCCCCCCCCCTATGCTCCCAGATGTTTGAATCCCATGGTGTCTGTCTTCTGTTCGCCTCAACGTCTAAGCCGCAGCCCTTCCACACTTTGCGCATGTGTGTGTGTGTGTGAGTTTGCGAGTGTCTTAGGTTGGGCAAGTTTGTTGAAACAACCAAGCCCTGGTCGCGTTCAAAGGACACCAAAGGAAGTTAGCACATGTTTGAACCAGGGAGTGGCCCGACCAACTTCTGCCAGCCTGTCGTTCTGGTCAGCCCAGTCTTCTGCGCGGCAATGACCATTGTCCAGTCAGCATGTCGAGCTAGTGTTTTTTTTTTTTTTTTTTTTTTTTTTTCTGATTGCCCTGCCTTTTGTCTTATGCCCTGCGCACGTTGATGCATGACGCATGTGTGCGTTTGTGTGCTCGATCTTTTTGGCTGGACACGCTGTTTGCGCCAATCCGTTTTGGCATTCAGGGACACCGAGTATGGACACATCTTCAGGTTACTCATCCGCCCTGCACAAGAACTCTGGCTTACATATTTCCAATTTCGTGCAGCCTCCGACACTCGAATCGAACAGGGGCCATGTATCCAGTGGGACTCTAGTTCTTCATCAGGAATTGTCAAATCAAATTAGTTGTAAATTTGGTAGATGTTTGATTTTTGAAGCAAGGGGTCTGAGTTTGGGGTAAGTGGACTCTTTTTCTGATTAAAGTTCTCGGGTCAGGTTTCAGGTTGACATTGGGTGAGGGGCCTTGCCGGCTTGTACCCTGGAGTCGCGCGTCTACAATTCATCAATCGGTGCCATGTCACAGTGGATGTGTTACATGGCAAAGGCTCCAGGCTTTTCCGCAGCTTCCGCAAGCCCGACCAAATGGTTTCGTGTCTTTTTGTTTCTTTTGTGGTTTTACAGGGAGCCCAGAAGGAAGCCCACCATCCTTGGGGGGGCGCTCTTCCCCGCAAAATGTGTCTGGCGCCCCTGCAGAATTTCCGGCGCCGTTGTCTGGGCCAGGACCCGGACGGCGGCCCGGAGGAGTCCGACGTGTCGCCCAAGGAGATCAAGTACCCCCCCATCCCCTTCGAGAAGCTCGAGGCGCCCTTCTCCGCTCGCTCATTCGCTCGCTCGGCCTCGGCATTTCGGTCGCTCTTTTTCGGTTCTGGTTTCGGTTCTCGGTCGGCGGGTTTCGGAGGATGCAGAGGCGGAATTTCGGAGTTCGTACGCGGGTTTCGGTTTTGAATTTCGCGTGGGTTTTTTGATTCTATTCGTGTGGTTTTGTTTTCCGGTGGTTTTATTTGCAAGCTCTGGCTTGCTTGCTGTGCAAGGTTTTTGTTTGCTTTGCTTTGCTTGGCCTTGCTTTGCGCTGCTTTGCCTGCCTTGGCCTTGCCTTGCCTTGCTGCGCTTTGCTGCGCTTTGCTGTGCTTTGCTGTGCTTTGCTGTGCTTGCTTGTTTGCAGGCAGGGTGAGATGCCCGTTAAAGAATGGCAGCCTTCGAAACCCAGTCATGTTTGGTGGTTCCCTTCAAAACCTGCCCGAGAGAATTCAACCCAAATGATACATCCTCGTCATAGCTTTTCCTCGTCATAGCTTTTTGCGGTTTCCTTTTGCTTTCCCTTTAAACAGCGCCATGCAATATGCAACAAGGGTTGTTCAGTTCAACCCAAATGAGACATCCTCGACACAGCTTTTTATGGTATCCTGTTGGTTTCCCTGTAAACAACGCCATGCAACGAGGGTTGTTCAACCCATATTGATGGCCAGGTAGGCATAGATCAACACCCAACTAGGTCCCCCAGTACAGCCCTTTCTCACCCACTTGCTTGCTGGAGGGTTCCCCTACTAAAATAGACTACAGAAAAACAAAAACAGGTTGTACCCTTATTCTAACCTCTCTACTGGAGGACCTGGGCTTATTGTTGGACGTGGCTTGTGTGGCTCCGCCAATATTAAAAGAGTACTAAAGGATTGCTAAAAAAGGGACTACTTGGGGAAGAACTGGCAACACCCGTGCTTCTAACCTCTCTACTGGAGGACCTAGAAAAAATGAACGACACACCCAGAACCACCTCCCTCTTTGCCGGGTCGTTGCGATCCCCTGAGTCTGTGCGCGTGCGGTTCGCCCGTTTTTCAGGTTAGCCACAATCAAAACCTGGGTAGATGAACGTTAGTAAGGGACAATCCCTTGCGGCCGCCTTCTTAATTCTTTATGTGGTTCTGGGTAGACCATTTGAATACCGGATATTTAGACCCATTTTTGCTGGGTGCACCACCCATTTTCGTCATTCTAGTGGGGAGTGGGATGTTCACTGGGGGTACCGGGTTTTGATTGTGACTTAGGTGGGGCAGAAGTACACGGGCACGGTGCGCTCGGTGCTGGACTTCGGCGCTTTCGTGGACATCGGCGCGGAGTCGGATGGGCTGCTGCACATCTCACGGGTCTCCAAGGACTCTATGGCCACGGATAACCTATGCCGAGCCATTTTGGGGCGGATGAACAACCATGTACCACCTACTTGGATGGGTTTTGACCCACAGCCATATTTTTGGGATGGCGAGAGACCGATTTTAGAACCTGGAGTCGGGGGATGTTAGATCCTGGAGTGGCGAGGTGCCGATTTTTGGATGGATGGATGGATGGCGAGGGGCCCTAGAGGCGGTTTGGATTGGAGCCGATTTTAGAACCGGATGGCGAGTGACCTTAGGTGGTTTGGTTTGCACCCGTTTTTGGGACCTAGAGTGGTTTGGAGGGGATCCTTGGGGTGTTTGGATTGGAGCCGATTTTAGAACTTGGGGGGGTTTGGATGGGATGCTTTGGTGGCTTGGATTGGTTCGCTTATGACCTTGGGCCCATGTCAGATAGCCTGATGCAAGTTTTTGCCAGTAGAAGGCGTAGATGTGGATTCCCAGATCAAACGCTACAAGGACCACCGGGAGGTTTCCTCCGCGGGGTTGGCCCCTCTTGGGCCTTGAGTCGTGGCAGGCCCTTTCTCCTTAGGAGCGCGTGGACAACATCTACGACATGGTGCAGGAGGGCATGGAGATCGAGTGCTGGATCAGCGGCAAGAGGCGGGGGTTTTCGGCATCGGCACTTCCGATTGCCGCGATTTCAGTCGGCACCTCTTTGTCTCGGAATCCTCAAATGGCTGTGGGTCAAAAATAGGGACCAAAAGGGAACGCTGGTAAATGGAAAGGCTAAAACCTGTGTTTTGTTTTCTTCCTTTTTTTTCTGGTGGTTGCAATTTTGACCCATACCCTATAGGGAGGAGCTTCCAGGGTTCAAAGCAAAAGAGGGGTAGCTCAAAATACTTAGTGGTTAGGGAGGGAATGAGAAATCAGTGACCCCTATCCCCGATTTGGTGTTCTTTCAGGGAAGCCAACGGTTTATTCCCAGAACCTTGGGCCGTTTTTCTGGTGAGCACCCGCCAAGAAAGAAGAAAGAAGCCCTGGCGATAAATATCGCCAAGACAGACCTCTCCAGGTTGCTTAGCCTTCCTCAAGTATGAGGCTCACCCAGTCTACTCTCATGTGCATCCGTGGGCTTTGTGACCTGAGACGGCCGTTGTTTTGTTTCTTTGTTTTTTACCAAATTGTTCTTCTTTTTTCTTTCTGGAGGCCATGTTGCAAGTTGCTAGCTCTGGAAGCGGAAGGTGCGTGTGGGAAGTGAGATGGGTGGGTTGCTTTTGGCTTCCCGAAGAACTACCCCAAAAGTGCCGATCCTCAAAAAGCGACACACCCACAAGGTGTGCGTTCTTGGGTTGAGTTTTGTTGGTTGTCCCTGGACACTTGCGAGGGGCGAAGTTTTTCAAGGTCCAAGGCTTGGGTCAGGTGAAGGCTCGCTTGCGATCGTTTTGTGAAATAGATTGGATGGGTGGACTTGTCAAGACGTGTGGGGTGACAAAACCTTGATGTTTCTCAAGTCCCCCAAAAAATGGCAAACCTATCGCCTACTTCCCCTTCCCATGGTTGTTGTTGGGAAACGTTTTACATTTTTGCTTGTTGTGTTTAGTGGGGACTCTTTACTCAACTGCTAAAAAAACATGTTTGCTCCCCTTCCAACGTCAACCAAGTTCCCGTTGATTGGTTTCCCGAGACCTGCCTGCGCTCACTGGAAAGCAAAGGGCACCCCGCTCACAACAGAAACTTGCTGGGGGTTTTGGGGAAACCCGTCCCAACCACAAATAGGTGTGGCTCAAAATTAAACAGGAGGGGCAAACCGCAGGTGGTCCATATGTCCACTTAGGGCAACCCATTTTGGGATTCCGGTTTTCTGACAGCCAAATAGGTGCGGCAGAACTCGCCCATTGGACTCCAGGTTCCGATCATGACATGTGGCTTAGCACACATCGATGAACTCCCACCCTAGAAACCTTGACTGCTATTGGGCAACGGATCTTTAGACGTTAACTTTTTGGTTGAAATAACGGTGGTTTCCACGAAACCAAAAAGTTAAACTTTTTGCAGGGGGGTCAACAGCAACCAAGAAACCCCGACACCCTTGACCCATGCCGCTCCCTATCTTTTGGTAAACCCCCCAATAGCCCCCTTGCATTTGTTTGAAATGATCAAGGTATCCGGTGTTTACCTTGAAAACAGGCAAGCCAATCTACCGGGGGTCCAAAAAAAACGCGTACTGACACACTCAGCTTTTGTAAACCTAAGAGGCCCCGCAGCTGTCACTCTTACCAGCTGTTCAAAAGGGTTTTTTTTGTAGAGCAGGGTGGTTCGGGATGTATCCTTGAAGGAACCCTGTTCTAACAAATGGCCATGAATTTTAATAGGGAACCACCTCCAAAGTGATTGGTGGACATGAATCCCCACCTAAATAATGTCCACCAAAGGGTCCCTTATTAAAATTCATAGCCAAATGGGTCCCGGGCCGGGAAATGTGGCCTGACTGATGGTTTGTTTTGGTTCGGCCATTGCAGACGACTCTTGTGACTCCCACCTCGGGTTTCATTTTTGCTACCGAAGTGGTTGATTCCCATGACTACGTGATCGCTTTAAAGGGACTGCCTGGGTATAGAACCCATTCTTCCACCTGGAACAGCCTTTCCGGTGCGATAGGTAGAGAATGACAACGAGTCCGTATGTTGTTCGTCTGAACCGGTTTTGGATCGGTTTCCCGAAAAAAAGGGAACCATCGAGGATGGTTTTTCTCGGGGTCATTCCATTTTTCCCCAACAGCTGAAAGCTTTGGGGCGGTTCTGAGGTAAGGTTCCACGAGGGTTCCACCAGGGTTCCACCAGGCTTCCACGAGGTTCTGCGAGGGCTGGGTGGTGCGAGCAAAAGAGTACCTTAGCTCATGCTGGGAATATCACCTGAGCTTATCATTCTGCGTCTTTGAACCCTGGGGGCCCCCCGCCCGAATGCTCACCCCATATCAATCAACCCCAGTTGATTAAAATATGGAGTCCGTAGGTTTAGTCTGGAATCATCACTTTTGGGGCCAAACCTGGCCCTAGTAAACTGGGGTTGACAAATACGGGGCTCAAGCTTCTTTGGGGTTGTTCACTGAGACAAAGAGCTTCCATTTGTTTAGGACTATCTATTTTTTTGCCCGGTTTCAAAGTTGGAATTTATTTCACTACGGAACACACCTTTTTTTCGTTTTTTCCAGGGGGCGACCTTCGAAGCAAATGGAAGAGGTTGGGTTTTTTCATTCTTATGTGGCTGTGGGTCGAAATAAACCAGCATGGGACCATAGGCTTAATTTTCATGTTTCCATTTACCAGGGTTCCCCATTTTGGGTACATATTTTGACCCACTGCCATGTCTTCCCGGATTCCCTAAGCGCTCCAGGGACGACGGGAAGTTCGGGCTCACCATGGTGGAGGGTCTTACGGACAGCGCCCCCAGATCCGCCCCAGCGGACCTCACGCCCTTCGCGAACATCCCCCCTGAGGAGACTTCGATTCGGCCGCCCAAAAAAACTGGCTCCTGGGTCACATGGGTGGCTCAAAATTAAACAGGGGGGGGTTACGCAGGTTTTGGTCCATGTTCATTTCGGTACCGGTTTTGTGAGCCACAGCCACCTAAACCATGCCAGACTCACCTTGAAACGCGAAGCGACCTGATTTCTCACTTGTTGGTTTCCCCTTGGGCCAAAGGTTAGTCATGGCTCCAAAGGTACTGGAGTTTCTGGGTCCAAACTAGGCAACTTGATCCGGGGATTTACCAGCAAACGTCGATTGTTCACTGAGCCAGCTCGCAAGGGGATAGGAAGAAACCGACCATCAACTTTGCTATATATCTCAGATACGACTTGGTGGCTCCCAGCCATTTGTTTTTCATTTTTCTTCTCGCTTCTTAGTTGGTTTCCTGGGTTTCCCACGAAAAACTTGGCGTCGCTTTTCCCAGTTCGGGCACGGAGAGCCCAGTTCGGGCCTCACGTGCCAGGAGTGGCAGAAGGGCGTGGTGGCGCGCACCGCGCCCTTCGGCGCTTTCGTCACCGTGACCTTGCAGGACCCCAGAGGGAGGGCGCCAGAGGTGGAGCCTCAGGGAGTCAACCAGACGAGGTCCCCCGGGCGATCGGTGCCCCTTCTTGGTCCCGTTTCTTTTTTGGTGGGGAGGGTGTTTTTTTTACTGAAATGGACAAAACCGAAAAAAGTGGGTGCCCTTATTCTAACCTCTCTACTGGAGGACCTAGAAGAATTCAGGGCTCCTTAAAAGAAATTCATGTTGCAACCATCCATTTCACACATTTATGGCTTTTCCAACACCAGAATAAAGGGACACCACCATTTACAAGTTGCAATGTTCAGGTGTACGATGTAAGGATCCCTGAAGAACTACTGTGGATGGTTGCGAAATCCTCTTAGGCACCACCGCTCGGAAACCCTGGAATGATTCGATTCCCCAGCGTAAATACCAGCAAACAATGGTTTCAACCATGGTTTCAAAGTGGTGCAGCATTTCGTCCATCCACAGTAGGTGCCCCAGTAGTGCCCTCTTGAACCCTTTCTTGGTTGGGAGGGTTCCCCTACTAAAATAGACTAATTACAGAAACAAAAAGGTACCCTTCTTCGAACCTGTCCACTGGAGGACTTAGAGAATGACTGAATGACCTAATATAGGTTGGATAGAAAGCTGCTTTGCGACGAGACCGAAGGTCAAATCGGCTTTTGCGTTTTATGCTCTCACCCCATTTGAGCATGGATAACGGGAACCCTTTTCCAGTCATTCTTGACACCAGCACGCAAGGGAAAGCAAAAGGACCCCAGTACCGGCCGTCGGATCGCCTGACCGAGAAATGGCTGGCAGCAACCAGAGTGGGCCATAGCCTTCCGCCCCTGAAGCCAAGGTGACAAATGTTACAAGCTTGGCCAAGGCACATGTACCTGGAGTTTCCATGACCCTTAAAAAATGAGGGTCATTACCCAAAATAAGAGGGGTCATACCAACCATTTTTTTTAAAGGGTCGTGGAGACTCCAGGTACATGTGGCAGGGTTTCACCTCAGACACACAAAGCGCCTGCTTACAGGACGGCTCCTCGGCGGATGGCCTGGTGCACGTGTCGCAGGTTAAGGACCGCGAGGGGCGGGGTCCCAGAGCGGGCGCCCGTGTTCCGTTTGGGAAGTTTCAAGTTGGGTGTGGCTCAAAATGGAGCAGGAGGGGTTAATTACGCAGGTTCCATTTTGGGTACCGGTTTTCTGAGCCACAGCCAGTTGGAGCAGCCTCAAGAAGAACTGTTTCATGTTGGTTGCCCCTTGAAAGCTTCCCCAGAAGGGTCCCTGGTTGCACACACACACACAGCCAAGGGGCCGTGTTGAGTGACCTCGGAATCATAAATGACACGTCGATTGGCAAATGCCTGCCTTAAAATGGCACTCGATGCGTCCGGGGAGAGCTTTGAATGCTTGTGATCGTTTCCGGCAAACTCAGCATTGCAGGGAATCTACTCTGCAAACTTCGAGTGAGCCAGCTTTTCCAATTGTGAACGTGGTCCGCATTGCTTGTGCTGCACGAAGAACCCGGGCGTGTGCATGGGCAAGCATATTATTTTCAGCATGGTCAAGTTGAGTCTATTGTTCATGTCGGGTACATAGGGGCGGGAAGAACAAGCCAATTGCGCCACAACTAGGGAACACCAGTGACATGAGTCAATTGGAGTCGGATCGCCCGCACTTGGTTGTCTTTTTCACTCAATTACGGGGTGCAGTAGTCATATGTTTCCGGGTTTAGGGAAGGGGGCCATCGCATGTGGTTGCACCTGTGCCCGAGCTTGGCGGGTACGAGCTCGGAGCTTTTGGGATTCCTAGCTTCCGATTCCGCGAAATCGCTTGTGCCCGGTTCTGTGGGACCACTTTTTCCTGTGAAGGCCTCCTGATAGATTCGGACCATGGTATGTCTCTGGGACAAGTTGTGCGTTCCAGCATCGTTGCTGGTTGCTTGTGAGAGCCATGGAGAATAGACTCTGCCGGATTTTGCGTGTCCGACCAGAGTTTGTTCATGAAGGAAGGGGCTGCTGCAGTCACGGCTGCAGCCGCTGAACGTACAGAGCTGAAGATTGTGGGTCCATTGTGGGTTGTGTTTCTCTCGGGCACCACCTGTTGGGGTTGATTTAAAAGGACGCCAAAGGAGCGTCGCCGGAACTCCCCCCCCCCCCCCAGGTTCTGAATCCCAGTTGCCATAGTCCAGCTGGCAACTTGCGTTGTTGTCTTGCGTTGTTGTCTTGCGTTGTTGTGTCACGTCTTGTTGTTCTTGCAGGATGAGCGGCGTAGCAACCAGTCAAGCCTTTGCATCTTACCACACAAGGCCTTGGCATTGTTTTGCCAGTCCTTGTGCTTTAGCCGCTCCTGAAGCTGAGGATTCATTGGCGGTGCTAAGGTATCCCTTTGGGGAGAAACTGGTCATTTGAGCCACAGGGCGGGCTCTTGACCTTCTGCTTCGGGTGGGGTGTCCTTCTTCATGCCGCAGTGGTGTAAAGTTTTGCCTACGCAGGCATCAACCATGGTCATTGTAGCGGATTCAAAATTTACCCGTGAGTTTGTCACATGAGTTTGTCTACACACTCATTTAACCTCGGGATGTCAAATGAGTTTACACTTGTTAGGCTGAAATAGAGATTCCCTCATGAGTTTTTTCACACACATTTCAGTTTGGGAGTTCATTTCAGGCTGGAAGGCACCTAAAAAACTTGAAGGCAACATGGACTGCTTAAGGCTTGGCTCCAGCGGTTGGCTTCGCAGGACGGCTTCGTGGACAACGTCGATGATGAGCTCTCCGCGGGCCAGGAGGTCAAGGCCTCCGGCGTGCGGCGTCGGACACTTCGGGCTTGGGCTTCGCCCCGGGCGGAGGGCGGAGCGAGCTGCGATGCGATGCGAGGTTTGGTTTGGTCCGAATACCCCTTGACTGCTATTGGGCAACGGATCTTTAGACTTTAACTTTTTGGTTGAAATCGAGTTGGGTTTTCAAAACTAAAGCCCCATTAAAAGTGATTCACTCTTTGCAGGGGGGTCAACAGCAACCAAGACCCCAGCCCTAGACTTGACTGCTGTGGGCTTGGCTCCCAGCCATTCAGTTCCTTAGGCCTTTCGCCGCTTTTTTTTTGGTTGGTTTAGTGGTAGTTCCAGGAGAAAACAACGCAAAAAGTCAGGGGATCTGAGGGCCGCCCAGATTGGGTTGGATCTTTGTACTGTAACCTTTTGGTTGAAAGCCAAGGGTTTTCTGAATTGAAACCCACAAAAAGTCAACATGTTTTGCCGAGGGGTCAACGGCAACCAAGTAGAGGGGTTTTGTTCTAATGCACTTATCACCGGGATCCGAATCGATGTTTGGCGTTTGGCCGAAAGGGCTCGTTGACCGAGCCCAAGACACATCGGGAGCCTTTGGGCCTTAGGCCTTGTGAGTTGACTTTTGGACAACTCCAGTCACCCGCGAAACCCGCCAGGTATTTCTCAGCATGCCACACCAAATTTCATCGAAACCAACCCGAACCTGAACCCACCCTGTGAACCAACCTTCTAACATAGAAAGCCACCATGAACCAATTTGACACCCACCCCACCCACACAAGAGTCTTTTGTCAACCAGTGGGTGTGGGAATCGGGGTTGCTAGATTCGTTTGGCCAGACCCCTGGTCGCTTGAAAAACGAGAGCTTAAAACATGCAAGGGTTGAATCGCCGGAAACTGCTTTGGAGCACTTTCCTTTGAAAGAAATTGTCCCATCTCCGGTTTTTGAATTCCACATTTTGCAGATCTGTTCCACTTCCTACCTGGTTTTATTCACAACCCTGGTGCGTGTTTTGCCTCATTTCGATTTCAACATCCATGCATCCATCCATCCACGCCAGCTGGAAATTTCGCCTCCGCACAGATTCACCAACCTGCAACTACGCGCATAAAGACCGTTCGCCCCGCGCATGCGACTGCGACTGGGCGCCAGGTGCGTATCCAGTCGGTGGACATGGACAGCGGCCGCATGAGCCTCTCCATGCGCGAGGGCTTCGGCGGCGGCGGCGGCGGATCCCGCCCGCCCTCGGACGTCTCGGCCTTCGCGGACGTGGCCACGGACACCTGGCGCCTCGGCTTGCGATGGAAACGGGGGAAAAACGGACGGGAGGCTATGGGGTTGGATCTTTAGACTTTAACTTTTTGGTTGAAATAAGACCTAAAGTTAAACCCCCAAAAGGTTAGATAAAAAACGACGTGTCCGTCTAGTTTCACTTTTTTGGGGGTTAAATAAAGCCAAACTTTTGGGTTTTTAAAACTAACCCCACAAAAAGTGATTCACTTTTTGCAGGTCTCGCCAGCAACCAAACGGCCCAACGGCCCAATTGTGCCGGCCCTTCTTTTCAAGGGATCCCCCTTCCCCAAGCCCCAAATTCCCGTCTTTAAGGGACCCCCCAAAAACAGGGCTCCTTAAAATAAATTAATGTTGCAACCATTTGAAACATGTTGGTTTTTCCACCAACATATAGGGACACCAACATTTACAAGGCACTGTTCCGGTGCATAATGTATAAGGATCCCCCCCAAAATGGGTGGGTGGGTTTTTTCCTGTGGGTTTTCCTGTAAACACCAGAAGAAAAAAGAGGGGTGTGTGACTCAGCCCAAGACCCTTGGTTCCTTTGTCAGCTTTCAGCCCGTGCATCAAGACGGTTTGCGGTTTTGGATGGACGTGTTTGCATGTCGCGCTTGCACGAGTTGGTTTGCAAGTGGGCCAGAGACTGCAGCTTTGGGACTGGTCCCAACCTCCTTTCAGCCCAGCGCCATGCAGCATGTCACATATCACTAAGGCCACTGCTAACGCTGGTGATTTCTTCCATAGGTGATCCCATCCCATCCCCTCCCATCCCATCCCATCCCATCCCATCCCATCCCATCCCATCCCATCCCATCCCATCCATCGGCGTGCATCGCATCCATCGCATCCGCCGCGGAACAAAACGAGAAAAATGCCAAATCCCCCGGCGGCGAGGATGAAGGGCACTGTGGCGCGGCTGGCGCCCTTTGGAGCCTTCGTCACGCTGAAGAAGGAGGACGCTCAGGCGCGAGGCTTCGCGGCTTCGAGTGCCTGGGCTGTGCCTCGTGACTTCTCCCCCCCCACTCTCCTGGCACAAAATGCCGCATGGAGCCACACAAAGAGGGGGGGGAGAAATGAAAAGAGGGATTCCTTCACGGGGGTTTCAGGTTCCATGTCAGGGTATCTTTTGGGATAGCGAAGGGAGGGCATGGAGGGCTTAAGGGTTTTTAGGGCCTTCCTTCATTTTCCCAAACATGTGGCAACTGGTAAAAACGCGGTTGCCTGTTTTTGTTCTTCTTCCTTTTTTTATTCTTGTGATGAGAGACTGAAACAGTTTGGCGTTATGGTGAACAGTTGAGGGGAGCGTTTCTTTAAAGGTGCGTCATGCCAAGATGGTCAATTCTGCTATTTTTCATTCCCCCTGTTGGTTTTTATAGGGGATCTATCACTACTGGACATATTTTCCCATTTTTTCCAGTGGACTTTTAGGCACCTGGAATCATTGGAGGGAGACTTCTGCATCTGAAGGCTTCGAGCAATTTTTGGGTTTGGCTCAACTGGTGCCTCTTCAACTGGTGTAGAAAATCCCAAGGCCCTGATACCAGTTCTTGAAGAACATCGCCTTCCTGAGTTCCGTAAAAGTGATTTGAGTCACTTTTTGGGGTTTGGACCATTTTAGCGGCACTCAAAATGTTTTTGGCAATTTGGGTTGCCCATCCACGGAAGTGAGTGTCCCAGCTTTTTTTTTGTGGGAATTCTGGGCGAAAGCCGCGCAACGCACCATGGGGGGCAGTGGTTCCATTCAGGCTTCATCCGTCCGTTTGCAATAGAGAAGAAGAAGAAGATGGGAAAAGCCGACGACCGGGCGCGGTAGAGGGCTTCTATGGATATTCCATCGTTCCTTTTCATGATCATGTTCGAGAACAAGCCAAAACTCTATGGCCATGCTTGATGGCTCCAGCTCCGGATTTCGTCCATCCGCTGTGCTTTTGGGAGGTTAGCCGCCCTATTTCACCAGGGCCGTGTTTTTTTTTGGCGGGGGGGATGAAAGTCAGAAAATGGAAGTGGTTGTTTCCCTACCTACCATAGGTCCTCCAGTAGTGCCCTGTGATTCTTTTTTGGGGGAGGGTTCCCCTCCTAAAATAGACCACAGAAAAAGTTGGTACCCTTATTCGAACCTCTCTACTGGAGGACCCAGTACCTCTGGGGTGACTCTAATGCTGAACTCATGGGGCCAGCTTTATGTCCGCCTCACCCCCACACCTCGCCCGCTCGCCGGGCTCCAAACGAATTAGGGGTAAGCCGAGGATTTCTTAGGCAACCGCGCCCCCTTGTTTTACACCGTTGACCTGTTTTCAGGTCTTAGGGTTTTGGGTTCTGTTTTATTTAATGTATTTTTGGCTGCGACAAACCCACATTCTGTTGTTGCTCTACCGTGGAAATCCGTTCGCACCACTTTGAACCCATGGTTGAAACCATGCCATTTGTTGGTATCTACGTTGGGGAATCGAAACATTCCGTTGGGGTTTCTGAACGGTGGTTTAGCGGATTTCGGAACTATCCACAGAATGACTTCATAGCTGGACATGGTTGTGAATCATAGACGCACAGGCTCAGTGTCACAATGGTGCGCTTAATCCACAGGTTTGGTCCATCCACAGTACCAACGCCCACTTCACCGTTGGCATAGTTTAGGATTTACTTTTTGTGTGTTCCTTCCTTTATTGTAGGCTGCAAAAAGGACAGTCCATTTCTTGTTGCTGGCCCATACCTGTATTGGGGCTGGGCTCCGTGAGTGAAAAACAACCAGGCGATGGGGTCAAAATCCAAATCGGTTAGCCCCCAGTGAACATCCGATTCAATCCAACCACTCAAGGCTCTAAACTGGGTGGTGAATTCACCAATCCCCCAAAACCTTGATCTTCCAGGACCCTGGAAAAGCAGGCCATTGGACGAATTTCCACTTGAAGCCAAGATCAAAATCAAGAAGGACCCGGGTTTTGCGGGTCCCAAGGGAAGACCAAGGAAATATGTCTTGGCAGCTATTGGGCAACGGATCTTTAGACTTGAACTTCTTGGTTGAAATCTAGGTACGGTTTTCCGCACTACACCCCCAAAGAGTGGAAACAAAACTTTTTGCAGGGGGGTCAACAGCAGCAGCAACCAAGATGTCGGATCCCACCACGGGTTTTGACCGAAAGCCAAAAGCGCCCCCCAAACGCCGCCGGCGGCAGGCGGATGGCCTGGTGCACATCACGCAGATCCGCGATGGCTTCGTGGAGCAGGCGGGAGGAGTTGGGTCGAAGGCCTGCGGTCCGTTTTTCCTTCGGTCGTTTTCAACCCAAGCCAAAAGCCAAAAGCCAAAGCCGTGTAAGCCAAAGGTGTAGGGAACTATGCCTTGTGTGTCAACAAAGAGAGTTTTCGACCCAAACAGAGTTTCCTGGGGCTCTTGATTCGTTTGGATAGATTGGAATTCGTGGCGGGTTCGAAAAATTCCACTCCTCCCCTTGTCTCCCCTCTCCCTTCATATGTGCCCAAACTCGCTTCGGTTGGTCTTTTTCTTTGGGCGTCCCTGAACACATGCCAAAAAGCACAAGACAATTGAATTTATTTGTTTGTGTGTGTGTGTGTGTGTTTTGTTTTTGTCTTGAGGTTTTTGCTGACGAAACCAAGGCTAAGGGTTGCCAAACCCAAAAAGCACACACGCCCATATGGGCCCCTTTGAAGCCAGAACCATCGCTCGGACCAACGGCTAGGCTTCCTCTTGTGATTTTTAGGAGCCAAGCACAAAGATCGCCCCTTGTCAGTCCCGCAGAAAGGCCAAGCAAGGGACAGGTTGAAAAGCACGTCTCAGGGATGTTGCACGTTCAAGTCTTCCATACTTCCTGAGTTCAGGAACTTTAAAAGCTTCTTGGGAAGACCATTTTGGTGTTAAATATAAAGTTTGGTTACTTTTTTTGGGCCATCCACTCAGCCCGTGAGCGTCACAGAGTTCCTTAACTCGTTGTGCCAAAGCCCCTGGTTCGAAGCTCGAAGCGCTTTGGCAGGTCACCTGTCGAGATCGACTCCCATAGTTTTTTTTTGTTTTAATTATTATTATTTTTTTCCGGCAGGGACGCGTAGAGGCTCGTGTCCTTTTTCGGTCCAAGTTGGTTTAAAACCTCGAGGGATCCGAGGCGTTTGCTTCGATTCGGCAGGTGGAGGATGAGCTGTCGGTGGGCCAGGAGGTGGAGGTGCGAATCGAGTTTGTGGACGTGGACAATGGCAAGATGAGCCTCTCGATGAAGCCGCAGTGATCTCGATGCGAGATCCCGAAAGAGACCCGAAGAGTTCGGGGCCGAAGTCGGCCGGAAAAATTATGAACCTAGGGAAGATAGGAACATCTGGAGCTTGGCTGGATGGTGACTTTTCATTTCATGTACGCCAGCCAAGTGAATCGTCTCAAGTTCGAGCCGGGTGCACAGCGAAAATGTCCATGTGACTGGAGAGGTCCAAGATGAGTCAAGCCATGTGAGAGCTTTTGGTTGTCTTCGGAGCTGTGCAGACCCATGTTTTGGGCGTTCCACCTTGGCACGGTGCACAAGTGCACACGTGCACGCAGGCTCACGGCCTGCGGGTGGAGGGGATCGCCAGTCAATTTCGGCTCCCCGAGGGCATGTTTCGAAAGCCCAGCGTGTGAGTGCCAGAAAAGTGCAGAAAGCAGTGAGCTAGCTGTCCGCCAGTCGCCGGGTTGCATGAGAAGAGTCCTTGGAGCGGCTATATGTGATGTCCAAGAGTTGAGGCCGAGCGACACTGCCCAACATCGGTGGCTTAATCCGGAAACAAGCACACAGGCACACGGGCACCATACAGCTGCAGCAACATCGCAAGCACTCATCGCCGCGATGTCCTCACTTGAAGCCGCTCGCTTAGAATGAAGTGTTTGCCATGCGGTCATGAGGTAAGGTTCACTGCGGTGTGCAACGAGCTTGTGTTGGCATTGTGTTTGCTTCAAGTGGTGTCTTTGGATATCTCCTTAACCAATCAACATCTTTCAACACATCCCATAGCTCATGTTGCAACAGAAGAGAGTAACAGTTGCGGTTGTTGAGCTTCATTGACGCTTTGTTGCTTGGGCTGCTTTGCGTTTGCGTCGTCGCTGCACACTGCGCCGACTCATCACGCCGATTCATCGCGCCGGCCGCGTCCGAGCTTTCGAGACGAGGCGGCCTCTAAAGGCAACTGCCCTTGCGGGTCGGCGGCGCGCGGGCAAAAGAACCAGTTGCATGACATACAAATGATTTGGTGCAATGCCTCAAGCGCGGCACAAGTGGGTGGGGATGCGTGGAGCACCGCCGCAACAAGTTGTTCTTCTTTGTTTTGGAATCAACATCTCGGCCTGGGGAGTCGTGTGGCTCGACAGGATATCGCATTGAATACCTCTTCGCGACTTGCGCTGTAGGGTTTACCGGCCCGCCATACCATGGGCAGCATATTGAACTGGAGTTGGCAAGTGACTAACGCATGATATGTTCGATGCCGTGATGCCGGCTGTGGCAATATGCTGTCACATTTGTGTTTTTTTGTGTTCGTAGGCACACTGGTATGTTTCACATGGTTTTGAACATACTTCAGAATGTGTTTGATGGCCGTTATTTCTTTGCCGATGGACTCCCCGAATCATCCCGGCGTGGCCTACCAGTGCCAGACCTCAGCAGCAAGCTGTCCAAAGCTGCGAATCTTGCCCTGAAGGGGCACGCGGACGGGAACAGCGATTGGTCGAAGCGAGCAGCAGGTGATGTTTTCCGAAGGTGCTCACTTGCTTTCCGGCCATTGAAAGGTCGCCCCGCCTGTGCTGGGATGGTTCGGCTGAGTGTGCTGTGAATACTTTGGCGTAAAGGCAACTCGCAACAGCCATGACGGGCATCAAATAATAAGTGCGCTGCGCAAGAACACCATGGCGAATGGAGGAACCAGGTATATCTTACCCTCGCAAACATACACCTGGCTAGCGAGCTCTGGACCACAGCTCTCTTTCCATGGAAAGGCATGCTCACGAGCCATCCCGGCGAGCAAAGGCCTGCCCACGGCCAGAGGCTCGAACCACCCAACATGACCAAGGCCCAGTTTCGCGAGTCTTTTCCCCCCCCCACTTCGCCCGTCCCAAGAGCACGGCGCAAAAATCGAAACAGAAAGTGCAACCGGAAGTTGTGGCTTGCTGGGTGTCCTGCCACGCGTCAGGAGTCAGGGAGTCAGCACATTGCACGAAGAAGTGTTTGCAGTTTTCCACCTGGTTCTGTGGCGAGTGGGCCATCCGCAACACGTGCAGGGGAACCAGATGAGTCCCAGCGCCGCACCCTTGCACTCCAGATGCCCCCGCGCGCATGCGGAGGAGTTCTCCGGTGTGTCAGGGGGCACAGTTGCCCGGGCACATGCGTCCCTTCGTCCTTTGCGTGGTGCCCTTGTACCCTTTGTTGGGGGAGGGTTCCCCAACTAAAATAGACTGCAGAAAAGGAGTACCCACGCCTAAAGAGTGGCGTGCGACAAGGTAGGGACATCATCGAACAAATTAGCCCATGGAACATGCAACGCGACGCGGCAGCGGCAAGCGCGCATGGCGCCGGGGCACAACCTGCATGCGCTCCGGCGGAAACGTGGGCGGCAATAGGACGTGCTCGCAGAAGTGAGCGTGAAGTACGCGAAAGTCCTGGCGGAAGTCGTTGCATGGGTTGGCCGCTGCAATGCGGGCGCCGCCTCCCGCTTTGTCTTGGGTCGATTTGTTTTCCCCGCGGAGCCGCCTATCGTCGATTCGAGCGAAATTCACGTCTGCCAAGTGGGTGTTGCAGGTGACGCAGGTGCCTGACTCACGGCAGACATGCGCGGGCGCCTCCCCAAAAAACAGCCTTTCCTTTGAAGGGCACTTGATTGCGCGCAGGCAGCAATCAGCCCCCTGCTGCCCAAAGATCGGCCCCTTGCATCTTCTCATGCGCTTCTGGCGTCAAGCGCCGGCATGGCTGCAAACAAAAGGGAGCCGGACGCCAGCCACTCTCATGTCAAACGTGCATTGTTCGGCGCCGTTGACGCCCTGGACCCCGCAGGCCCGAGTCACACTTTTACGTACTCCGCTCCAACCTCTGCCGGGCGCGCGTTGCGAGACCCGCTTGCTGCCAAACGACCCTGCGTCCACTGACGCCCTGTCAGGCTGTTGCTCGCGTGCAGCTGCGCCCCCCTGACCCGGACCTCAACCTGACATGCGTATATTTTTTGCGCGACCGCGTCGGTCGTCACTTTGCTGCCTTTCGTCCGCTTGTTCTATGGTCGGGCATCCCGGTCCTTTTTCCGGCACATGTTCTTCCGCCGCCCGGTCCGTCCCCGAAACCTCTCTTGCCAGAATGCCTCTTGGTCAGCCTGGGATGCCGGACTTGTCCTGCTGGGTTGGGGCTGGGCGTTTGCCCGCTGCAGAACAAGGGCTTACTGTTCTTGGGGCCCCTTTTGGTTCTGACGCGCTTGTCCGGATTCAGCTCTTCTCGCCGCGAGCCAGCCATGACCAGCTCCTGCAGCGTTTGCCCGAGCTCGATGACTTGCAAGCGTCTTGGCTGCTGTTGTTTTTTGTTGCAACTACCTTCTCCGGAGGCTTCCCCCGTCGGTCACGGCCGAGCACGCCGGTGCTTCTGGCTCGGCTATTCCGCCGACTTTCGCGGACTTTCTTGGTGTCGACGGTTTTCCCGATCAGGCTCGAAAGATCGCCCAGTTGCCCTTGTCGCTCGGTGGCCTTGGTTTGCTGTCTGCTGCTCCAACTTCTGTCTCAGCGTATTGGGCATCTTGGGAAGATTGTCTGCCGGTTCTTCGTCAGCTCTAGCCGCATGCGGCGCAGGCTTTCCTCCGTGACCTTGACGCCCCGGTCCCGCAAGCGCCCTGCCTTCGCGCAGATGCCACAGCTCACGGATTCCACACCAAAACCACGCTGGATGGGTCCAGAGCGGAGAGCAACTGCGCGCACGCGCGGCGCGTCCACTCCTTGCGGCGGCGAGCGCACAGCCACCCCTGGCTGGTCAATGGCGACACAAGGGTGGTGTCAACCGCGAGCTGCTGACCCCTCCCCCACAAAGGCAAGCCATTGGCAACAACCTCCAGCCGTCTGTCGTCTACTCGTTCGAACGTGGAGGTTCATGTCAGCAAGCCGCGTGTTGCATTTGACTCTGGCACCAGCCTCCCGGCAGACACGCGCCGCCGCTCTCTCCAAAGGACAGCCACGGCTCCGAGGGACGCCCGACCGGGCACAGGTTGCACGGTGGCCGCCAACGGGGTCCCAAAGGGCGAGAGCGGCAACGGAAGGCAGAGAAGAAGCACACGGAACAGTTGGGAAGGATAATCCAGGGCGGGGCATGGTGGGCACAGGCCCCCCACCTTTGTTCGCGGATGGCAGGAGGCTGCGGCCGCCACCGTTGCCTGCCCCGAGCTCCGTCGCTCTGCCGGATGCCGCTTGGTCATGCTCGCAGTCGAGGTCGGCGGCCGTTGCAGTGACAACGCCGTCTCTTTTGTGCGCTCACTTGCGCGTGCCAGGCCTGCCAGGCTCCGCACCAGCTTGCAATCCGTGCTTGTCGCGCGCTGGCCCGCCGTCTCCTTGGCGGGCATGCCGGTCGGGGCGCAGCATTGCCATCTTGATGGGACTGAGGCCGGGGGCCGCCGGGGTACACATAGCCTGTTTTTCTGCACGTGAGGAGCTCGCCTCCACAGAAGCAGCCGCCGAGACTCCTTGTGCCCAGGGGCATCCGCTAACTTCTCTGGGAAGGGGAGGAAAGCCAGGCGACGGAAAAAGGCGCGGGAGGAGAAAAACAAAGAAGAAGCAGCTACTTCTCTTCGAGCATCGCCACCATTCGCGAGCTTACTACCAAATTCATTTTCGAGTGGCTCGGGGCCTATTACTGCTCAACAAGCTTTGCATTGAGAGCCTTATCCACCTGTCTGTGTCTCAAACTCACGCCGCTTGTCCGCGAGCCGATCTCGGGAACTCAAACATCGGTCCCGAGGTTGGTGGCAGGTGGAACGGCGAGGCGAGGGAGTTGCTGCGCGCCCTAGCCCGTGCCAAGGCGAGGGAGCGGCCTCAGTGGCTGCGGGCCTCGGCTGTGCAGGCCTTCCACCAGCGCTGGTCAGGCATTATTGCCGTTGCGGCGCAGAGGGCGCTGGCTGCCACTCTGGCTGGCCTGCCAGGAGCTGGCCTGGACGCCTTGGATGGCACCGCGCCGCCCTGGCCCGAGGTGCTGGCGGCCGCACGCCTCGGCGAGGCTGAGGAAGCCAGCCGGCTGCCGCTGCGGGC